TGCTGAGTGGCAGATGCTGCCTCAGCCCTGGGTCTTGTGGGAGCACCTGTGGTCCCCTGCATGGAAACGAGGTCCGAGCCCTCCCAATGCCTGGCATCGCAGAGAGCAGGTGTCTCCTTGCGCAGGCTGGTGTTCCACAGAAGGGCACTGACTGTGGGCACTGTCAGAGCAGGGAGGACAGGGCCTGAGACTGCTCATCCTGGTCCTCACCGTGCCTCCTAAATGTCACGATCCTCAGCGACGGGCAGCCGGAAATATACGACCTTCCCACATCAATGCCAGTTATAGAATGAGAGGGTGAAAACATTCACTGCCAAAAGCAAAAACGACAGCCTCAAATTTGTATGCAACTAAAGTACTACACAAAACTGGATTTTACTTGAGGAAACACATTGGTTTCTCTGTAATTTTTTTTTTTTTTTTTTAAATCCTCACCCGAGGACATTTTTCCATTTTTCACTCAGATAGAGCGGGAGGAAGAGAGAGAAACATCGATGTGAAAGGGACACATCGAGTGGCCGCCACCCACACGACCCAACCAGGGCCGGGGTCAAACTGCAGCCAAGGTACATACCCTTAGCGGGAACCGAACCCGGGTCTCTGTGGACCGCAGGCTGACGCTCTAACCACTGAGCCAAACCGGCCAGGGCTGGTTTCTCAATTGAAATATACAAATTCACAATATCCCAGTTTCTTTCTCAGCGTTTCCACAACAGAACATGCTGATATGTTTCTTAATATGGAGAAATTCAATGCTGCAAAATAAATGGGTTATCTTAAGTAATTCTACTTGGAAATCTATACAGAACACTCTAGAATATGGCTGAGGAAAGAAGACACGCTACCAAATGCTCCCTTAAAAGGAAGAATTCCTGAGATTTTATCACCCACTTCAGCTTAACAAACACCTTTTACCGGTGCTCTGTCATGGTCTCTCTAACCTGATTGTCTTCTTTTGAACATGGCCCTGTGTCTGTTAGTGCTAGCTGAGTCACCAGCTGCTCGCGACTGTTAGGTGGCTCCTGAGGGTGCTCCCTGCTAAATTCCAAGGCCCCTCAGATCTCAGGCTCCAACCTCCCACTTAGCTGCATGTTGACTTCTGAGTGTTTCCCGAGTAAGGCGTGCTTGACACACAAAATACTCTATTTGCATTTCAAGTCCTTTATTTATTTATTTATTTTACTTTCCCCCAACCCCACCCTTTATTGATTTGAGAGAGAGAGGAAGGGAGAGGGAGAGAGAGATGGAAACATCAATGAGAGAACATCCATTGGCCGCCTCTGGGGATCGGGCCCACAACCTGGGCACGTGCCCTGACTGGGAATTGAACCGGCGACCTCTTGGTGCAGGGTCGAGGCTCCGTGTTGGAGATGGAGCCATGAACCTACCAGACCGTAATCTCCACCCCCATGGAGCTTATATCAGAGAGAGGTGATAAGCAAAATAACCGAGCATTACAGAGGAAAATAAGACAGTGGGAAAGGAATCTTGGAGAAGTGACATTTTTTAGAAAGGCTGGTTTGGGAAGAGGGCACTGAGAAGACATCTGAGCCAAACCTGGCGGGGATGAGGCGGGAGGAGACAGGCATCTGGTGGAAGAACACTTGGAAGATGCAACACTGAATGCAGCTGCCCTCACAAGCCTGTCTCTTGCTGGATTTCCTGTCTCGGAAGCTGACCTGTGCCATCATCTCCCCCAGCCTTAAAACAAAAATCTGAGACTTATGGACTCCACTTCCGTAACTAACACAGCCTGCAGCCCAGGCCGTGCGGTCCTGACCCCGCCACCTCCCACGCTTTCCTTCTGGGAGGGCTCTAGCCACCGCCTCGCTCAGGCCACCACCTCCCCCGGGACGTCTCTGGCACCCTCGGAGCCAGCCTTACTGGCCCCCGCCCCTGATGCTGCCCGACATGATCATGCCGTTCTCTGCTTCAGCTCCCCGTGGTCTCTCACCGTGGTCCAAGCACACTTCGTCGTGGCACGAGGGTCCCGTGTGCTTGGCACACCTGCCCTGCCCTCCTCCGCTTAGTCATGGCCGCTCCAGGTTGCTTCTCGTGGTCTTCGATACATGTACTGTCCCGGCCAAAGCTCCTCTCAAGTTACTCCTTACAACACCGTGCCCTCTTACACACTCCATGTACACTTTTACACGGGAGTGTGTACACGTTTGTCTTTCTGAAACCCAGCTCAGTGCTTGGTTCAAAGCACTAAAAAAATGAATGGATAAAATTAAATGCATGACCCTTAATGACTGTAATACAAACAGGGACACCCCATCTCTAAACCCCAATCACAGGCAATAGGTTTCCTCTCCTCACACCCTCAGAATCACCTTAGAAATCCCTCTTCAATATGCAATTCAACATATTCTGACCCTGAACACAAATATCCACTCTTTTTTTTTTTATCCTTACCGGAGGACATTTTTGCATTCATCCTCAGATAGATCGAGAGAGAGGGGGAAAGAGAAACATCGATGTGAGAGAGACACATCAAGTGGCTGCCACCTGTGCACATGACCCCAACTGGGGCTGGGGACACACTGCAACCAAGGTACGTGCCCTTAGCGGGAACCGAACCCAGGACTCTCTGGTCCACGGGCCGACGCTCTAACTGCGGAGCCAAACCGGCCAGTGCTAAATATCCACTCTTATTCGCTTGGAAAACAATGTTTTAAAAAGCATAATATTCCTTTCCCAAGTAACAGCTTCTACTTCAGAACATTTTATATACACCACTGATCTGTGTCCTTTTGACAGCAACAGAGAACTTCAGTGCCAGAACTGCAGAGGTGGTGACTCACTTCTGTTAGAGATCGTCTGAGGTTGACGGAGCTGGCCAAAGGCTCAGCAAAGGAAACTTCGGGCAGTGACAGAAAGAAGAAGGAAAAACAGCTTCACAAAGCTACTCTAGGGGCATCTGGGAGGGAAGGGGTCCAATCTGTATATGAAGGAGGAATGAAAGTGAAATCCAGAATCAAGAATCCAGGCATAAAGTCAGCAAAACGTTTAACATATAAATGGCCGACCAGGAATAGCAACAGGTAAATTTGATATGTATCATATCTAGAGGAAGAAGAAACAAATTTGCAAACTTCTCATTTATTGTGCCTCGGGGGGGTGGGGACCAAATCTGTTTACAAGTGTCTGATGGTAAATGGAAATTTCCAGTACGCTGCATTATTTTCAGATGTTTGTTACAACATGGTCTTTCCTTATTCAGGAACAGCAGTTGGAATTAGATTACTGAGCGTAATTTCCAAATAATTGGGGTTTATTTTGCTCGCTAGAGAACAGTAAAAAGTAAATATTAGAATTTTTATTTTATATGCTCCAGTCACTGTTTGACATTTCTGCCTACGCAGAAATTCTTAAAGATAGTTTAAATACTATAGAGACATAAAAGCATGCTTCTATTTAAAGAAGTTTTATAGATAATTATGCACAGCAATCAACTGGAGATGTACTTAAAACATATTGCAACTCAGGAGGTGGATGTAGGGTAGAGACCGGATTCTAATTTCTGGAACTCTCTCGGGAGATGCTGCTGGCCCATGGACCACACTTGGATAGCAAGGCCTGAATTCATGGTTCCCAGCCTTGATGGTTACTGGAATCACCTGGAGAGCTTTAAAAACACAGCATTTCTAGGGGAGAAAGGTTACATGGTCTGCGGTCCAGTCTGGGTGCTGAGTTTCCAAAACTCCCAAGTAGCTAAATTTGAGAACCTATGGCCTAAAATGGATTGGTTAGATTATCAGTAGGCTTTCTTCCCCCTGATAACTGTAAATAACAGAACTAAGAGTGACCAGTAATGAACAGATTATTAGAGTAATAGACAATGCACCAAATCTCCAAATTCTGAGACCACGATTCATTATCAATCATTTTATATACTCCTAACAAATTATTTAATAACATACTTTTAATATATTTTAAAGTCAAATATTGATGGAATTATAATGCAATGACAATCTCACTTATTTTTAGATTAGGATATAGTTATGCAAAAATGTGATTTTAAAGCATATAGGGATATATATTCCTAATTACAGATAAAGAGTTCTGATTACTTGGGAAGTTTATAAAAAATAATCCCCAAACCTGGAACTCATTCCAGCAGAGACCCAGACTCAGAAAGGACGATCAAAAGTTTAGTGTCCATCCATCCCTACTTGAAGTAGGCACCTCTGTTACAAACAGATTATCACTCTCCCTTCACAAGGCTTTTCCTGATTATTGCTACGTTGAGGGTTATGAAAGGTCAAGCTTCAATTCCATTCCAAGGGTCCCTCCCTTAAGTTTAGAAATGCACATCAAAAAAACTTAAACAGGATATAGGGACAGCCCAGTAAGAATGTGAAAACACACAGAAATAGCACGAGGTATAACCATGGCCACAAACAAACCCGTGGTGTTGCCGTGCAAAGAAATGAGTCCGGGCAGGGCCTCCGTCCAGCTTGGCCTCTAATGAGCCATCTGACAGCAAATCACACACCCAGTCTCACTGTATAAACAAGGACACCTCAAACAGAAGAGCTTGAAAATGAATTCCTAGATCCAAGCTCTGTGATCTAGCAAGAACTAGGTAAGAGGTCCTCTGATGCAAATATGACAAATTCTAGAGAAAGAACCCAAGAGCTTACTTTTAACATGATTGGTTTAACAAGTTTCTTAAGAAAAAAAAACATTTTAAACTTGCCTTCAAAAAAAGTCTACTAGGTGGCTATCATTTAAAACAATAAATAAGTTTAGAAATGTAAATAAAGAGCAGCGTAGGCCCTGGCCCATCTGCTCAGCAGTTAGAGCACCAGCTGGCAGGTGAAGGGCTGAGGGTTCGACTCCCGGTCAAGGGCAAGTACCTGGATTGCAGGTTCGATCCCTGGCCCTGGTTGGGATCGTGCAGGAGGCAACCAATACATGTGTGTCTCTACATGGCTGTTTCTCTCTCTCTCCCTCCCTCCCACTCTAACTTAAAAAGGAAAAAATATCCTCAGGTGAGGATTAACCAGGAAAAAAGGGCAGTGTAGGACAAGTGGAGAGAAAGGGATCATTAAACAGTGCAAGAACACTATGCAGAAATCAAATAAATAACGTAAACTGAGGATAATGAAATAGTAAAAGCTTTTCCTAAGGAAAACTATTTCAAAGCATGAACTATGGGGTTTTATGATCCATCCCAAAGAACAGAGATTCTTATTAAATACACAAAATGTTTCTAAGTACTGCAAATAACTCATAATTCCTAGATAAAATTATTCTAATTAACAAAAAATGGTAGTACGTGGAGATTATTTCCTTTTATTGTTTAGGTTTAGTTTTAAATAGGAGTCCTGCCCGCCACAACACCCTAGCGTGGCTGGTCCCTACAAGAAGGCTGCTCTCGTGGCTGCCTGTCTCCAGGATGCTGAGAACATGTGGACAGTCAAGGAGGCACGCGGCTGTCTCAATGACAAGTTCCAGTCGTTAATCTTCTTCAGAGCTGGAGTCGTCCTCTTGGTCGGAGAGTTCGGGGACAGGGAATCGGAGAATGGCAGCTACTCCGGTCAACTGGCTGAGCTGCTCCCCGGAGACGTGGAGGCTGGAGAAGATCCTCACAGTGCCTGCATTCTCTTTCACACTGTCCACCAGCCGCACATACCGGCTCCGCATGGCTACGTCCTGATGCCTGAAGAGCTCGTCGCTGATGAGCAGGGTGTCGATGGCCATGGCCTCGTTGGCCTTCTCCACCTGCTTCAGGCCGTAGAAAGCCCGGTCAGGTTCATGTTGCAGCATTTTATAGAAGTCATCCAAGGCTTTCACTTCCCCCGCAGCTTTGGTGTCCGAAAGGCGGCTGGCCACGGTCGGGTCACAGAGGGCCTCCTTCAAGGAGTATTTGTGTCCAGAGGAGGCATGCACCTAGAATCGATGACAAACATTACACAAGAATCTCTGAGAGCACCCATTAATCAGCCTGCAATAACCTAAAGCCAAACGCACTAACGGGCTTTATACGCTTAAGAACTTTATACCTTAAGAACTAAAGCCAAGTTTACTGTATAAACTTGCTTCTGTTGAACAGCTCTGGTTTCATGACCCCATTTCCAATCCCGGTCAAACGAAGACTTTCTACAGACCCCTCTGCCCATTCTTGGTCACCGGTGTGTGTGTGGGGGGGGACAGTTTTACCTGCAGGAACTTGGACCGGTTTTCCAGGAGCACCTTGTTGTCCGTCTTCACCGCTTGCTGAAACATGTAGTCGCAAAACTGCTCCCGCACAAACCCCGGGCTGGCCACCAGGACGCACTTGACCACATCGAAGTGTATGTGGCGCTGGATAGCCTGCACCACCTGCTCGTAGAACCGCTCCAGGGCCCGGTCGTGCTGGGAGCAGTTCCCCTTGCGTTTCCTGGGGATGTTCACCTCCACCTTGGCCCGGGTGAGGGTCATGCTGGGCGTGACCAGGCAGACGTGGGCCAGGCCCTCCTGCATGACCACGGCCGCCACGTCGGCGCTCCAGGCCGGGTCGCAGGCCTGCTCGATGCGCTCCAGCACCACGCTGTCCCACTGCTTCTTGGCCAGGGTGAACTGGCGGTTGGGCTCCAGCTCGATGGTGTGGTAAGCGCCCATCTTGACGTACTCGTTCTCCTGGATGTTGGTCCCCTTCACCCGCAGCTCGCAGGCCTGCGAGTCGAAGTCGATGGCCTCCACGCAGAGGGTGAGCGTGGTGCGCACGCGGCTGCTGCCCACGCTGCCCGTGGAGGACTCGGTCTGCACCTTGCGGATGGTGGAGGCGCGCAGGCTGTCGCCCACCTGCACGAGGTTGTACGTGTGCCACATGTCCTCGGGGTCTTCGGGGACCAGGGTCACCTGGCCCGCGTTGTCCTTCTCGATGTCCTTCCTCAGGAGCTTCATGGCGCTGCCCGGGGCTCCGCGCCAGGCACGCGGACCGCGGGGTCCCCACGGGGAGGGACGGGGAGTCCCGGCCGGGAAGGGGGCGGGGTCTGTCTACAGCGTTCCTCCAGGCACTTGGGGGCGGGAAGGCAGGACCAGCTCCGACTCAGGGAGCCAGGGGAACATTTGCTCCAGTCCTACCTTTCAGTCTCGGGGCGCGACGCGACAAGCGGGGGCACGAGAAATTCCGCACCGAGCCCAGGCTCGTCCGCAGCTCCTGCCGCCAGCACCACCGACTGGCTGATGCAATGAGAGCGCATGCGCAGCCCGCAGCCCGCTTCCCCCGCCCCCGCTCCCTCCCCCCGGCGCACGTTTGACGTCGAGCGCGGAGGCGGGGCCGCAGGTTGGGCTGCGCAGGCGCAGTGTACGGGGAAGGGCTCCGGACCGTAAGCCTCCTAAAGGAGGGGTACGGGATCCTGGTGGGCGATCCCCTGATTTGAATGCTCGAGTTGCGCTTCCTAAGTTTCCCCTTCCGTTCCCGATTGTGACGCTCGGGGGATTCGTGAGTGGAAATGCACACTCTTTAAGCTGCGTGCATTGCCTGTCCACCTGCTCCCTGCGGGGCAGTCCAGTTTCAAGGCTCACCGGAAAGGAAAGGGAACCCTCAGGAGCCGAGGGACGGGGGCACAGCGCCGGAGCCTGTCTGCGGGGCGGCTTCCCGGGACACACAGGTGGCGGGGTGGCTGCGGGCGTGCGGGGTCAGCGCGGGGCGACCCGATCGGCCGGGCACCCGGAATCCGCGGGGGCAGCCTCAGCCCCAGCTCCGCGCACTGAGATGTGGAAGGGGGGACCTGAGCCACTGGCATCCCCCATCTGACAGCGACAGAACTGATTTTAAAGGACATCCTAAGTCACTTAACCCTTGTGGGGGGTGGGGCGGTTTGCTCTTAATACAACCCGTGAATGGGAAAAGCCCAGCAAGGTTTTCTTGCGAGTTAAGACCGGGTGGAGGGGTGGAGTCCTGCGCTCACACCTCATTCTGTCTCCCTGTCTTACCGCGGGTGGCATGGACAGCGAAGCTCCTCACCCCGAGCTGGGGACACGGGGTGAAAGGGAGGAAGCTGGCTCTGGCACACATCGTAATGCCAAAGTCGCAGTTATCTTCCTCAGAGATTGTCGGGGGACACGAAGGTCCCCTCCGAAACTCTAGTGCAAATTAGAACCGCTGCTTGCTCCGTGGCCCCCCCTCTCCTTCCTTTCGGCGCTCCGTGCCCTCATCTAGTTTCCGGCTCACAGGGCCTTCTCCCCTTCCAGGAGAGTCCAGCAGCTTTTCACCGAGCAGGGAACGGATCACCCCGTGTATCCTTTTAAATTAAAATGTGCTTATTAACCTAGAAGAATTCCTACCTGGAAGAGGGAGGGAGGGAGGGGAGAGAGAGACATGGAGGTTCTCCTTGATCACCTTTCCAAATACAACTCACTTCTCTCCAAAGTCAGCCAAGGATGAAAACCCACAGAATCCCAGAGGCAGCACACAGTAGGATCTTAATAAATGTTGGGTTTTCATCGAAGAGCTAACATTTATGGAATATTCACCAGGCACTTTCCTGTGCTCTTTCTAATCATCATCTGTGGGGTCAATATGTGTTATCCTCGTTTTACAGATTAAAAAAAAAAAGAATTACAGAGAAGAAATGTATTCAGAAATCACATAACCAACATTAAAATTCAAACCTGCTTAACCCCCCCCCCCTTGCTATGCTGCATCATGGATGTTTGAAATAATCTCTGCGACCACAAGCCACACGCTGATTTGAACAAAACTAACCTAAAGGATTGGAGAGTCACCATTCCCTTCCTCGCTTTTATCACTTTTTAAAAGTCTTTACTCTTCTTTTCCTTTAGCCCAGGCTAGGTCACCATCATAATCCTTGAAAAAAAATCCATTATTCTACTTTCGAAAAATACACATATCTCTCTACATTTAAAACCTGTGGACAGCATAGACAAGAGATGGTGATTTGGTGGTAGGATTTGAAGGACAGAAGATCTAGCGATTTCATGATGGCAGAGCTAATCCAGACTTGTGAACAGACTGGATGTGGAATACAAGAGAACATGGATCTAAAATATTATGACTGATATTTTGGACCAGAGACTAAAAGGATGGGAAAACAATTCACAGAGATAGGTTGTGGAGTGGGGGAAGGGTGTGGCGAAGAAGTCAGTCTGGAATGTTATGTGTGAGGTGACAGTGGGACATTCAAGTAGAGCTGTGGCCTGGCAGAGGAGGCTGGGTGTGGCAGAGGAGGCTGGGTGTGGCAGAGGAGCCAGTTCATGAAGGAGATACGCATAGAGGTTATGAACATACAGTTGGAATTTAAAGCTGGGTAGCTAAGGAGAAACTCCAAGAAAAATGAGGGAACAGCTGGTTTGGTGGAGGGGAAGTCCTGGGAAGGCAGTGACCACTGTGCCAGATGCTGCTCAGAGGTCAAATACAATGACCTGAATAAGGATCATTGGTATCATTGATGATCATGACAAGCACTGTTTTATTGGCATGCTTGGGTGAGTTGAAAAGGAAAGAAACTGGAAGCAAAGAGTGTACACATGCCGTCCTGAAAAGGCTCTACACTGTATCTTCTAAGTATATGACATTCTGGAAAAGGCAAAGCTATAGAGACAGTAAAAAGGTCAATGGTTGCCAGAGGCTCGAGGGGAGAAGAGAGGGAGGGAGGGATGAGCAGGCAGAGCACAGGATTTTTAGGACAGTGAAACTATTCTGTATGATACTGTAATGGTGGGTATATGAGCTGCATTTGTCAAAATCCATAGAAATGCACACAAATATAAACTATGGACTTTATTTTTAAATAATGTATCAATATTGGTTCATCATTTGTAACAAATGTACCACAGGAATGCACGATAGTAATAGGGGAAAATATATGTGTACTGGGAGTATATGGGAACTCTGTATTTTCTGCGTAAATTTTCTATAAAACTAAAACTGCTCTTAAAGAAAAACCTATGGAAAAATCCACATTGTCTGTTAATTCTGTGGCTCTTTTTTAAAAACTCATTTAAATTATGAGGCAAATTGCTCTGGCTGTCTTTAAACATAAATGTGCTTCAGTGATTGAACCTATCCCAACATTTTTCATAGACTTACTATTTGATCTGAAACATCTTTAACAACTATATTTTTTTAGTAAGTGGAGCTTATTGTTGAATGATCAGATGTTTTTTTCCAGATTTTGTGTTATAGTTTAGTATTTCTAAAACAATCATTACACTTTTATTTGAGTTCTTTGGAGGTCCCGTTGCTATTAATTAAAATCTAAACTGCCTAGTATTGAAGGCCTCCATTCCAGCCTCACAGGCTGCATCCCCCACTTGTCCCGTCTGCACCCCATGTTCCCCCATAGGAGGGACCAGTGACCTTGGTTCCCCGTGCATCCTGACAAGCGTCTGCTTCGCCGCCTTCGCTCATGCTGTTTAAAATGCGCCCCCACCCCCGGCTCCTGCTCCCATAAATCCTGCTTATCTGAGGGACCAGACTGAATGTTATCTGAGATGTGAAACCGTACATTCTACTCACTGGAGTACTCTTGCTTACTGAGCTCTGAGTGCATCCCTCCTGCGACCCTGGAAGAGTCGCGTGCACACAGTAGGCACACGCACACGGATGGCCGGATGACGAGTGCGTCCATCATCAAGTGGCTGCTCTGAACTCTGGCACAGGCCGTTCTGAAGGCGTTGATGTTGTTGCCAACTACAGCTCACTTTAATCCCTTAGTGTGAGAAGGAGCTCTATACAAAATCGCCATAGTTGTATAGCAGTATATGATAGTCTCAAAATGAGCAAAATCATGGAGACGTGAGGAAAAGACCATGATTTAGCTCTGTTGCCTTATGTTCTAATTTTATTGTTATTTATGGGTTCTTTAAAAATAGAAACCTTTACCTCAGTACCTTTATATCTGTTTTTTTCTATAACATTTTACTTATGTTGATTTTACTTATGTTGATCTCTCCAGAAGAAAAGAAGTTAATGTTATTACCACCAAAACTTTCCAATTTGTTGCTTTTGATATACTTCTGGTGTCTCAAAAAAGGAATTGAGCTAAAAGTCAAGCATCCTGAATTGTAATTCTTACCCTGTCATTTGTTTTCCTGTGATTTTAGGCAGTACTCAGTCTCTTTGAAACTCAGTTTCTTTTACTTAAGAATGGAGAGGCTTGAATTAAATAATTAACATTTGTTTTAATTGTAAAAATTATGCTGCAACGGTATTTTAAAAGATTAAAACAATACCCATAGTCTCACCCTAACACATTTATTTTCAATTTTGCATGTTACCTTTTGAATTTGATTCCTGCTAAGGCCCATTTTAGCTGTAAAAGATTGGTACTAAGTTTAATACTTTAGAGGTAGCAGACCTGAGTTCTGGTCTTTTCTAGTTAGATTCCAACAACTTCAGATAAACTCGCCTAACCTCTGCTAACCTGAAGCTTTTCATTCTAAATCGTAAATAAGATGATGTGTCCTACCTCTCTCATTAGACACCCCTGTGAGGTTCTAATGAGACTGATATTTTGTAACCTGCAGAGCGCTATAAACAAAGGTACCATATAAATCTCTAAGAACGCCTGGCTTGAAGCTAGAGGTCTGGATCAAGCAAGAGGCAAGGGCTCACTTTTTTTTTTCCCCTCACCGGAGGACATTTTTGCATTTATCTTCAGATAGAGCGGGGGGGGGGGGGGGCATGAGAGAAACATTGATGTGAGAGAGACACATGGGAGAGAGACACATGGAGTGGTCGCCACCCACACAACCCCAACCAGGGCTGGGGACAAACTGCAACTGAGGTACGTGCCCTTAGCAGGAACCGAACCTGGGACTCTCTGGTCCGCGGGCCAACACATATCACTGAGCCAAACCGGCCAAGGCACAAGGACTCACTTTAACATGATCATCATTGTTCAGCCTTGGAAAACCAGCTGGTTCAGCCAAGCTGACCGATGGATGGTCTGCTGGGTGCATTCGATCGATCCTCGCACCTCTTCTCCAGGGAAACCTTAGGTGGGTCCTGCTGCATAAAGTCGTCCGTGCATCTCAGTGGTGCACTGGATTACAATCCTTCCTCCTGTTATAATACGTTCTACATGGTCTGTAGGACCGCAGCAGGGATATGGGGTCCCGAAAGGTAGGAATCTTGTTTGAACACCTTGAGCCTCGCACAGGAGGGGCTGTGTACATTTTCTGGCTTCTCGTAT